CCAAGAAAAAGAAAATGAGACTAGAAGGAATAAAAATGGTAGGGATTTATGAGCAGGTATGGCACTTGCTACATTAGTTATTTTTTTAAAATGAAAAGATTATGTACTGCCTGATCAGGAGACTCATTACAATCTAGATCAAGGGATTACACTTTGATTTGTCAATCTGAAAAAAAATAGATAATTTTTTTCTAATTTGCTCTATCACTGAAGCGTGTTTATGCCATCTCCAATCTTATCACTTTCCTGTAATTTAGCAATACTTTAAATCATGAAGATTTACCTTAAACACTGTTGTTTTCAGATCTATAAAACCAAAGAAAGCCAGTCAGCCTGTTGTCCAAAAGCAGTAAATCTGAACCATTAAAATTACAACATAATCAAAAGGGCACTACACATTATACTTATCGAGAAACATCCACGCTTTAAACACTTTAGATATTCTATCAGAACAGAGGAAAAACATGAGACTATTTTTTTTTAAAGGATTTTCATGATAACATGCAGTTTGGAAGGAAGCAGTTTTCAGCCTCAAGGCAGTGCAAGATTAATTGCTATTTTGATTTTAAAATAAAAATTAAATGTGTTATTTCTACAACTGCAAGCTTGACACTGATGTCTGGTTTTACCTACAGACTCCTCCTCATTGTTTGGCACCAGTGGAAGTTGACAGATGCCAGGAACTTTAACAAAGTGAAAACACTATTTTAGGTATTCAAAGACCGCAAAATACCTTTGAAAGTCTGTCTATTTGCACAAGCAGGTTTGAAAAATCTTAGTTTTCACAAAGCTACAAGTTCTTAAAATCTATGTTAAACTGACTAAAGGTAAGAGGACAAGTTTAGAGTACACTTGCTGTGTTCAGTCACATTGCTATTCATATTTATTTCTGAAGCCAAGTAATTTGTGGCTGTAAACAGGACGTTTTCTAAATTGGCTGAAGAGCAATACATTTTCCACAGAGCTCCCAGAAACTCAAGAAAACCAAAAACCCTCTGGTTAATGGTTCAATTCAATGTGGTTCTTTCAAAAATCTTACTTATTTTTGAATGATGCATAAATTCCACCCATGGAATGCCACGGTAGCTGATTATTCATTATTTAAATTTACTTTGGAAATTAAACTCAAGGAGAATTATCTAATGCATGTCAGACTGGAAATGAGCTGTGAATCTCCAAAGTTAATTTTAGCCTCATGTGTGTTAAGAAACCTTCAAGATTCAAGTTCTTAACTGCACTTTAACATTATGAACTACTTATTCAGCAAAGTCCCTGTATTACTTTAAATGTAAACCTCTTTAAGCCAATTTAAAAATATGATCTTTAAAAGTTTTATAAAAGCAGCTTCTCAGTTTTTCTGCAATATATTTAACCTTGGTAACTTGACAAGTGAGTCTAAGTAAACAGTAATTTTTCCACATTTCAGCTGCTTCCAGCATTACATAAACTCCAATATGAATAGGAAGAGAAATGAGGCAAGATTCTCTTCAGTCTGATGAACAGCTGTGCAAGTTGGTTGTTTGGGTTATTTAAAAAAAAAAAATATATATGCACACACAAAGAGTTTTCAAGAAGTCAACCATGATACACATGCCACAGAGCAGCCAAAGTCATCATGTCAGCGTTGGCAATCATCTGGTGAAATCACATGGCCTGTGGTAGGCGTCAAGACTAAAATGTGGTGAATACTAGCCCAGGATTCTTGAATCTTTCCAAGTTCAGGAGATAGTTTCATAAAAAGATTTGCATCCAGCTCTTACTGTTCTCAAGGCAACTCAGATATTATCTGGAACCACACAATTCACCACTGAACAGAAATCTTCAGGGCAGCTAGCTTATATTAGATATTACGGAGCCTGCCTTTAATGATAAAGTGAGGCAAGGAGTGTGCAGTGATGGATCTCCCAGCTCGCTGCTTACAACTGCACTTCACCAGTTCTCTCACAGAGTTGAGATAAGGGGTTATGCTTTGAAGAACATTGTCACAGTGATACCTTAGATCATTATTGAAATAATCAATAGATTATTTCTGGATTTTGGTGGAGGAACACAAGAGAGAAACTTATTTTCAACACCAACTCAATTCAGAAAAAGAATTTTCACTGCATCTATTTTACAAGTCTTTATATCATAACTGTCTGCAAAACACCTGCCTTGTCAATCTTGGTTTGGATCAAAGTGGAATTAAATCCAGGTTTTTGTCTCAATATAGCTGCACTCACCCTTCACAAAGAGAACAAAACTTCAAAACACACTGAAGCAGGATGAATGGAATGCTGATTGTACTTTATTCTCCCTCAAGTACCTCTTTGAAACCCAGGAAAGGAAAAGTGGGCAAATAGGAAGTTTGTAGTGTAAATGATACACTCAGCAAGTGGCATTCACTTGCTTGTTTGTAGAAAAGAAGAATTTTATGCTGATTTCTCTGTCTGAAAGCTAAATACTCATTGACTTAATGAGCTCCAATTCCTAGTTGGAACACATATCATCCAGGAAATCTTTACAGTCCACACAGGCTTCGCTGACACCAACACTGATCTTCATTACTACTCTATAGAATGAATCATCTCTTCAGTTCCATGAAACACTCAGGGAACAGAAGATGATTTTCCAAATAAAATTTTTAAAAGTACTCAGCACCTTAAGACAAAGATGAGACCCCACACAACAAGACCTAAGTGAGAAACATTGATTTTTGTTGGACAGCTCAGCACAAAACACCACTGCCACATTGACCAAAGGTTTATTTGAGAGGCTTTTTAATGACAGCTGAGAGTCTCTGATGTGTGGGTTTAAACCTCTATTTGAGGACACATTATCTCAGGCGTGGGGTGTGTATGAAAGGGACAGAGAAAAAACCTCAAACAAAAAACACTGTTGAAGTTGTTTGCTGGGTGCCTTAAAATTCAAGCTTGGTACATGTCAGGATGTGTTCCTCATTTCAGAAGAGCTGCTGATACAGTTACAGTAACATTACAGCACTTTTTTTTGTTGAGAATATGCAACATAGCACTGCCACTTTAGTGAGCACAAGCTTTGACAGGAATATTCTTTCCAAAAATACTTCATCAGCTTATGCAAGCACTATTCAACCAAGGGAAAACAGTAAGAAAAGGTGTGAAACTATCACGTACTGTTCATATTCTTTAAAGAATTTGGCTCATGGAGTCACTCCTCTATATACTTCAGAAAATGCACGACCAGTTTTGATAGCTCACCATCAGGAATTACAAATTTAAAAACCAATAACATAACAGAAGCAACGCGGCAGGAGAAGGATGTTCATCCAGTGACCACATTCTGACCAAGTTCAAGTGATAACTCCCTGCCCTGGCATAGATGAAATAAATCATACGTAGTATCACTAATGTAAACTTCTAGTCTCAGAAAGCATCCTGCTCAGCTGTTTCTTTTTATAAACATTCTTCTCCTCTTAGTTCACTGTTTTAATTTTTCAACTATTATTTTCTCCTGGTTGCATACATAGTACAGCCTCTTTCTTTCTACAAGAGAAAAAAGCTTTCACATAAGAAAAGACTTAGTACTTGTTAAAGATTATTCTTAAACTGTTATCCCCAAGCTACACAACAGTTTGAGAACTCGAAGTTAATATTAATAGTCAGAAGCATTTCTAATCTCACTCAGTAAAGCACTGCAAAAAATCCTGATATCAGCATTTTAACTCAAAATATCCTTGAAGAAATAATTTAAGAGAAGAATTTTTGCCTTCAATACAACAGCAAAAAGAGTTGTCAGTTCAGCAAACAGAGAATTTTGTCCAAGAAACTCATTTTCGTTTGTTGACTAAGACCAAGAACCAGTATACTCCACTGAAGGAGTTACCCACACAATCACATTTAAATTAGAAACCATCCCAAGCCCAGCTGTCAGTAAGCACAGTAAACTCCTAAAAGACCTTCAACATATCACAGCCAGATTCTTCACCACTCATGAAAATCACCACTTCTCTGCCTTGAAGTGTTTGCAAGAGCAAGACCTGCATGTGTAGTACTGGAGACAGCTTCAGGAATAAGATAAAAGGAAATTGAAGTTGTTCCCCATAGAGTGATCCAATTCTTTTTTGCTCTGTGACTGTGAAGGATCACTTCTGTAAAGAACTCTGCACTTCAAACCATGTGATCTATCTAAATATTTACACTACGAACACTATTAAAACTCTTCTCTGAAGCCATTAAACACAGTATTTTCAGCAAGTGAAACAAAACTATTACTCTCTAGATTATTATTTAGTTTTAACTGTTCTTATCAGGCAGAACTGCTCTCCTCAACTCCTCTTTGTAACTCATGAGAGCCACACAGCTGTGGATTTGGCTGAATATACTTTAAAATGTCAAATACCTACTTCCTTTCTGTTTCCTAAAAGAAAAGAGGGAGGGAGAGGGGGAGAGAGAGAATAAAGAGGGAACCCAATCAGGATTTTCTTCCTTTTTTTGTCACAATTTGTAACATTAGCACACAAATTAGCAACTATGCCCCCAAAAGGTTTTTTTGTCCCTCCCACTGGCCCCTACAGCAATAGGGTTGGTTTTTTTCCTCCCCCAAAAAGTATTACCAACACTCAGAACGCCTTATCTTCTTTTGTTCAGGCTTATCCTTGTTTTCAGGGCTTTCTCTGTGCTCTCTAGTCCTGAGGAAGATGCAACCACAACAATCTCTAAATCAGTGCACTCGACACTTTCTCCCATGCTGGAATAGATCGCTCCCAGTCCGAACCAACTGGGAAGTACGCATCGAGTCCATTTTTGCTCTAACTTTAAAATAAATCTATGAACTATATCTAAACTTTGGGAGAAAAAGAGAACATATTATGTAAAAAAATACTCAGAGTAGAGAAGAAATTACCAAAACACATACCTCCCATATTCTGTGTATCATTTCAGATTGTATGTTCTACAGTACCCATCACACAGAGCCCACTAACCCCTTTGCAACACAAGGAACTGTCAAGGAAGAAAATTACAGCAAAAATTAATACTTACAGCCACAATTAACTCAAAAGGGTGTTTATACACCCGTACGGGGGATTGATACTTCTGCACCATTGCTGCAGTCAGTAAGAGCAACTCAAACCTGAAAAAGAAATTTTTAAAGCCATCTGTTAGATGCAGGAAGTCATTTTCCATCTTCTCTTGCAAATATTCTGTGCATGATACCACACCCGCGGTTCTAGAGGAAATCCTTCACAATTCCTTGATGATTTTATGGGGTTTTTTAGAAGATGCAATGGGTCCATGAAAAGCTATATATATTTTTATCAGAAATGACTTATCATTTTTTCCACAGATGACATAAAATTAGCACATTCTCAGTCCCATTTTAGTAACAAAGCTAATTGATAACAAAGCTTCAACAGACTTCACCAGGACAGTGAGACTTCCTGCGCTGCTGCTGAGAACCAAACATTGACACACACCCACCAAGGGCAGAAAAGCATCGCCCAGACCCCCAGCGTGGTAAGTGAGTTGCCTTGTTTAGAGGTCATTGTGATTTGGGACTGGGTTAAAAAAAAAAAAAAAAAAAGAAAAAAAAAAAAAAAAAAAAAAAAAGAAAAAAGAAAATAGAAAAGGAGTTTAAAAAACATACCAAGTGTTAAAAATCCTTGGGTTTGGAAAGAAACTGAGCACACTGATAGAGGGCATTCCTTCATCATTTCCAAATCAAATTAAAGACTTTTGAGAAAGAAACTTAAGAGAGAGCTGGGGAGAAAAACTTGGACAAACTACAAACATTCCGATGTACGGCTGGAAAAAAAAAAACTGGAAAAGGGAGCGGAGCTGTTCCCGTGGGTTTGTGTTCGGCCCAAACTCCCGTGGGTGCATTTACTGGAGACACACCGGCAGCAGCACTCGCAGACGGGACCTGGAGCTGCGAGCCAGGCTCACCGGAGCGAGAAATGGGGTTATGGCAATAAATTATTTTCCTTTTTTTTCTTTTTTTCTTTTTTTTTTTTTTTTTTAATGTGTTCTCATGTTTTCTCCAGCACTTCTGGAAAGTGGCATCAGCTCCAGCAGAGCGATGGGCATCGCAGCTCCTCAGACACCGGGGCAGCCAAGCCATCACTTCGAGAGGCACCACAAGTTCCCCCGAATCCCGTTCGAGGGAGGAACCTGCCCGTTACTACCCTGCTTTTTAAAAAAAAACCCCAAACAACCCACCTGAATCAGCAAAAAGACCCGCAAACCCTCTCCCGTCCCCGGACACACACACGGTTACACAACAAAG